TCCTCCACAGCACCAGGGGGCGCGGTAAACCCGCCTCCCGTCTCTAGTCCTCCACAGCACCAGGGGGCGCGGTAAACCCCATAGTCCGCCGCGGCACCAGGGGGCGCGGCAATGCCGGTGGAAAGGGCAGTTCGGAGATCAAGAAGCAAAGGTGAAGGAGGATACAGAAATATAGTGGAGAGGAAACAGGAAGCGGAGCAAGTTTACACAAATAGACGGCAGGGAGAATAAACATTTCCTCCTTTCTCTCACATTGGGACGGACTGCGTGACGGTCGGGTCGCTGTTTCCAAGGTGGTAGCGGCGGTGGGAGAGGAAAATGTCTCTGTTCGGAAAGAAGAAGACGGCGGAAGGTGAGCGGCAGCAAGTCCATGACACAGGGCAGGGTCTAGGGATGGGCATAGGGTTAGGGCTACCTGGGGTAGGGGTAGGGACGGGGACCGGGACCGCCTGGCCTGGGGCTACATAACCTCTCCTGACAATTTAAAAGAAACTTTTGATTATAATTCTTAAATGTCAATAGTTTCCAGTAGTTTTGGTCAGCACTGAATGTATTTGTTGCCCTAATTGTACTTACTAGAATCCTGTTAAGAAATCTTAGGTTCTGGGACCTCGTTATTGCTAGTTGTAGTTATTTTTAATTTTGTGAACCAGTTAAATTTGGAGATCTTGAGATGCAAATATGTATTGCTGGCCGTTTGTATACGTATAGAAGAATATGCCTGTTCTGGAAGTATTTAATGTTAAAGACTCCTCGGACCTTCTGTTACTGTAATTCTTGTCTTTGCTTTGCACTAATACCTGTCTTTCAGGCTCTCAAACCATCCAAGAACAAAACCCTTGGTGTTCTGCCCTGCATTAAATTCTGTTCATCCATCACCCTATCTTCACTGATCCACATTGGCTACCTGCTCACACCCCCCTCCACCCCACCCCATTAATAGCTTCAAACTTATCACCCTACCTTACCCAACTAGAAACGTAGCAACGTAAGAGCAGGACTAGGCCTGCCATGTCTGCTCCTGCACTTTCTCACACTATCCCCAAATTCCATATCTATTGTCTTCAGTATTTAGAAATCTGAGTTTCTGACTTGATCATGCTCAATGGTTGAGTTTTCATAGCTTTTTCTGGTAGAAAATTCCAAAGAGGAATGAAATGATTCCTCCTCATACCACTCTTTAAATGCTATTATTCTTGGTTCCGACACTCTGTCTCTTGGGTTCTAGACTCAAAAGCCAGGGGCAATATCCTATTTACATTTACCCTGCTTTACCCCATGAGAATTTTGTAAGTTTCAATGAAGTCAAATTTTTGAAACTCCAGAGAATACAAGCCCAGTGACCTCTACCTAGCTTCCTAAGACAGTCCCAACATCCCGTAGTGATTTGTCTGATGTATTGTACTCCCTCATGACAAATGTATCCTTTCATGGATAAGGAGACCAAAACTGTGTACACAACTTAGAGCATGGCCTCACCAAGGCTCTGTAAAATCGCAACAAGACATTTTTACTTCTGCCCTGAAATCTCCCTATGATGAAATCCAATATTCTATTTGCAGCCTTAATTGATTGTTGTATCTGCATGTTAGCTTTTAGTGACTCATGAACAAGGACACCCAAGTCTCAGTCTGCAAAAACTTGCTATTTAAGAAATACTTTTTTTTTTGCAAAGATGAATTACATCACATTGCTTCTATCTGTCATGTTTTTGTGAATTCACTTAACCTGTCCAAGCCCCATTGCACCTACCTAAAATTTACATTCTCAACTAGTTTTGCATCATTAATACATTTTGGAATACTCCATTTGGTCCTCATATTCAAACCGTTTATATAATTTGTACTAATGCAGTCTTTAACATTTGTTACCCATTGTTGATTCACTTTTTAAAAATTTTGTCTTGGAGAAGTGTGTAATGTTGTAGACTGTGTAGTACCTTCAAAACCAGGCACCATCTGTCTCCTGTCAAATCTGTATTTTCCCAATCTACCATACCCCTCTCAGCTTCATAGCTTCCTTTGTTCAGAATTATGACCTTAGTTTCAGAAGGTATTTTACATTGTTGGAAAGGAATATAATTAAATTATTGTCTTTCAAAATGTCCCTTGCAGGAAGGTTTTATTAATTAGTGCTATCACTGAAACCTTTCCCAGTCTTGTACATGATCCTGATTGATTGATATAACTTTAACTTTTTTGTTTGAATTAAATTCATTCACTCTTGTTATAAGAGCTTTTCAGTGCCTTGTCCTACTCCCTGGAATACACTTCCTCAATCCGTCTACATTTCTCCTTTAAAAGCCTTCTCGAAGCCCATGTTTTTTAGCCAAACTTCCCCTGTGCTACCTGACTGTGCTCTATTTTTCTTTTAAACCTATGCTTTTGTTATAACTTCTGAGGATGCAGAATCCAAGAAACAGGAGATAATTGTTTTAGATTTATCTGATGGCATCAGCAGTGGATCCAATTTATAAAGAGAATCAGCTGAAAAAATGTGGAAATATTTTTATCATGTCTGGTTTAATTAGCAATCTACAGGAAATTGATTTAGGTCATGGAATAACATAAGTTTTGAAAACTGACCTGCTTACTCTAAGACAGTAGATTATAATTTTGATTCCAAATGTTTCTGTTTTCACTCTGTGGTACAGTGTCATCATATCTTGGTGACTCACTGGCATGCTGATACACTCAACCATGTCACATAATTGAGACTATTGTAAGTGGTGATTGTCACAGATTTCCATTTCAAATCTGAAGCTGCAAATGCTATTTGTAGAAAGATTGATGCAGCCATTCCTCTTTGCTTGACTGTGTGTAAACATTATTTGGTTTATAGTGTTAGAAGAAAAGTAGTAAACCTCATCAATATATAGCTTATCGTATGAAAACAATTCTATACAAGTTACACGAGCTGATTAGATATTGTTATTAAGACTATTCAAAGATCCAGTGCTGTTCTTGTTTCCCCACCCAAAACTGTATGACATAACTGGATTGGGTGGAGATTAATGCAGTCTCCAACAAAGGAGAAACAGGGAGAGAGAGCGAGAGAGAGAGAGAGAGAGCAGGTACTACGTGGGAGGTGGAAAAAAGAAAGATCAGTGAGCCTGCACAGCTGTCAGATCAGCAATGAACTTTCACAAAATAAAAACCGAAAGAACTGCAGATGCCGAAATTTGGAGGTGACTTCATTGAAACTTACAAAATTCTTATGGGGTAAAGCAGGGTAAATGTAAATAGGATATTGCCCCTGGCTTTTGAGTGTAGAACCCAAGAGACAGTGTCGGAACCAAGAATAATAGCATTTAAAGAGTGGAACAAGAACAGGAGTTGCTGGAAAAGCTCAGCAGGTCTGGCAGCACCTGTGATGAAAAAATCAGAGTTAACGTTTCGGGTGCAGTGTCCCTTCCACATGAACTTTCACAACTAACTGCCTCTGCTGTTTAATTTAAAGTATCTCTGGACATCGGAGTTCATTCTAAGAAAATAACAGTGAAATTCACAGGTGACCTTGGAGAAACCTGTGTGGGGAGCTCACAGCAAGGGAACAGCTCAGTGGCATTTTTTTAAAAGTGTAACTTTTTTTTTGTAAATTCACAATACTGAGCAGTGTGGGTTTTTTTATTGTTTTCTTGAGATCTGTCTCTTGATTAAACTTTAAAAATATAAATTATAGTTAACCTGGAGCAGTGTTTTTAGAGCAGTAAGACTGTGCTATTTTCCGGATCTGTAGATTGTTAAGGTGCAAAGATGGCCTCTCCACCTATCCTCTCCTCTATCCCTCTTCTATCCGCCTCCCACTCTCTCCCTATTTATTTCAAAACCCCCTTCCCCTCCCCCTTTTCTGATGAAGGGTCTAGGCCCGAAACGTCAGCCTCTCTGCTCCTATGATGCTGCTTGGCCTGCTGTGTTCATCCAGCCCTGCACCTTGTTGTCTCGGATTCTCCAGCATCTGCAGTTCCTACTATCTCTTTAGTAGAGTGATGTGCTTTTCCTGTTGGATGTGGGAGTTAGGGAGAACTTCAGTGTTCCTGATGATTATGTCTGGAGGATGTGTGTTTGGTTGTGAATCCTATCGGATTGCATGGATCAGTTGGAGTGGCAGTTATAGGCAATGAGGAATTCACAGGAGATGGTGAGAAAAGAGATCGGTATGAGATTGATGCAGTTGGGAAAAGGAGCAAGGCCGGCGGGAGCAAAGCAGTGAATGAGTTGGGACTGATAAATTAAATTGCAAGAGTGCAAGAGGCCTAACGGGTAAGGCCAGATGAACTCAGGGCATTGTTGGGAACATAGGACTAAAATATCGTAGTGATTATAGAAACATGGCTCAGGGATGGACAGGACTGGCAGCTCAATGTTCCAGGGTATAGTTGCTACAGGAAGTTTAGAAGGAGGGGCAAGAGAGGAGAGGGAGTGGCATTTTTGATTAGGGATAACACTTACGGCTGTACTTAGGGTATTCCAGGGAGTACGTCCAGGGATGTTGTTTGAGTGGAACTGAGAAATCAAAAAGGGATGATCACCCTATTGGGATTGTACTATAGACCTCCAAATAATCAGGGAAACAAATTTGTAAAGAGATCTCAGTTATCTGTAAGAATAATAGGGTGGTAATGGTAGGGGTTTTAACTTTCCGAACTTAGACTGGGACTGCCATAGTGTTAAGGGCTTGGAAGGATAGGAATTTAAGTGTGTACAAGAAAATTTTCTTATGCAGTTTGTGGATTTACCTACTAGAAAAGGAGCAAATCCTTCTGCAGCTCCCCACCTCCTCAATACTACCTGTCCCTCCACCTATCTTTGTATCGTCTGCAAACTTAGCCAGAATGCCCACAGTTCCTTCATCTTGATCATTAATGTATAAAGTGAAAAGTTGTGGTCCCAACACTGACCCTTGTGGAACACCACTTGTCACCAGCTGCCATCCTGAGAAAGACCCTTTTATCCCCACGCTCTGCTTTCTGCCAGACTGTCAATCTTCTATCCATGTTAGCACCTTGCCTCTAACACCATGGGCCCTTATCTTACTCAGCAGCCTCCTGTGCGGCACCTTGTCAAAGGTCTTTTTGAAGTCCAGGTAGATAACATCCATTGGCTCTTCTTGGTCTACCCTGCTAGTTACTTCCTCAAAGAATTCTAGCAGATTTGTCAGGCATGACCTCCCCTTGATGAAACCATGCTGACTTTGCCCTACTTTACCATACACTTCACAATATTCAGAAATCTCATCCTTTGCAATGGACTCCCAAATCTTATCTACAACCGAGGTTAGGCTAATTGGCCTGTAATTTTCCGTCTTTTGCCTTACTCCTTTTTTAAACAGGGGTGTCACGGTCGCTATTTTCCAGTCCTTGGGACCCTCCCTAACTCTAGCGATTCCTGAAAGATCGCCACTAACGCTTCCACTATCTCTTCAGCTATCTCCTTTAGACTCTGGTGTGTGGTCCATCTGGTCCAGGTGATTTATCTACCTGCAGGCCAATCAATTTTACTAGCACCTTTTCCGTGGTGATGGCCAACCTACTCAGCTCTGCCCCCTGACTCTCGAATTTTTGGGAGATTACTTGTGTCTTCCACCGTGAAGACTGATGCGAAGTAATTATTCAGTTCCTCAGTCATTTCCTTGTTCCCCACTACTATCTCTCTACTGTCATTTTCCAGTGGTCCAATGTCCACTTTTGCCTCTCGTTTGCCCTTTATTTATCTAAAGAAACTCTTACAGTCTTCATTTATATTACTGGCTAGCTTACCCTCATATTTAATCTTCTCCCTACTCATTTTTTTTTGTCGCCCTCTGGTTCATCTTTGTAAGCTTCCCAGTCCTCTGGTTTCCCACTGCCCTTTGCCACATTATATGCTTTCTCTTTTGCTTTTATGCTATCCCTGACTTCCTTAGTCAGCCATGGTTGCCTCATCCTCCCTGTACCATGCTTCTTTTGCCTAGGGATAAATTTTTGCTGCGTCTCCTGAATTACTCCCAGAAACTCTGCCATTGCTGTTACACTGTCTTTCCTGCTAGGCTCCTCTTCCAGTCAATTCTGCCCAGCTCCTCCCTCGTACCCCTGTGGTTGCCTGTATTCAACTGCAATACTGTTACCTCTGATTCTATCTTCTCCCTGTCAAATTGCAGAGTAAGTTCTGTCATCTTATGATCACTGCCTCCTAAGGGTTCCTTTACCTTAAGCTCCCTTATCAAGTCTGCTAAACTTGATCTAATAAACCCTCCTCAGAACCACTTTAAAACTTATTATCCTTCCTTTAAATAAGGAGAGCAAAACTGCCCACAGTATACAAAGTTGTCTTACCAATGCCCTGTAAAACTGAAACATAGCATCCTTACTTTTATCAGAGATAGTAGGAACTGCAGATGCTGGAGAATCTGAGATAACAAGGTGTAGAGCTGGATGAACACAGCAGGCTGAGCAGGAAGGCTGATGTTTCGGTCTGAAGAAGGGTCTAGGCCGGAAACATCAGCCTTCCTGCTCCTCTGATGCTGCTTGGCCTGCTGTGTTCATCCAGCTCTACACCCTGTTATCCTCACACTCCTTCGTTATGAAAGGAACTGAACATAAAAGTATCTTTGTAGTCTTCTTCATTGCTTGCATACTAAATTTTTGAGAGTTGTGCACTAAAAAACCTGGATTTTTCCACACTTTGGAATTCTGCAGTCATTCTTCATTTAAATAAACTTTCTTCGTTCTCCACAAACAAAAACATAAGTTGCTGGAAAAACTCAGCAGGTTTGGCAGTGTCCATGAAGAGAAATCAGAGTTAACGTTTTGGCTCCAGTAATCCTTCCTCACAACTGTTGGTAGCTAGTAAAGTGCCAGTTTATATGCAGAATACAGGTTGGGGGGGAGAGGTTAAGGAGTAAATGATAGGTGGGGATAGAGCCCAAGGGGAGAGAAGAACAGTTGGACAGACAAGGGAGTGGATAACGATCTGGCTAGGAGACTGAATAACTGTTAATGAAGACTGTTAGTGGCTAACAATAAGTAGTGTGTAATGGCAGACTATGTGATAACAAGGCCTGGTGTGTGGGGTTGTAGACTAGGACGTGGGAGAGTTCAGGCCCTAAAATTATTGAACTTGATATTGAGTCCGGAGGCTGCAAGGTCCCCAACTGGAAAATGCGGTGTTGTTCTTCTGGTTTCGCTGGAACATTGCAGCAAGTCTGAGACAGAGATGTTGGCCAGGGAACAGGATGGTGTGATAAAGTGGCAGGTAACTGGAAGCTCAAGAACATTTTCGTGGGCAGAACATGGGTGACCATTTTGCAGAACATCAGTCTACGCTTCATTTGTCCATTCTTCCTGTCAAGGTGAGCAACTTTTCATTTCCTCACAATACACTCCATCTGCCAGATCTTTGTCCACTCACTCAACTTATCAGTAATTGTTTCCTTGTGTTCTCTTCACAGCATGCTTACGTACCTATCTTTGTGTCACCTACAAATTTGGCTACTGTGTTTTCACTCCTGACCTCTAAGTAATTGACATACATTGTAAAAAGCTGATGCCCCGGCAGTACTCTACTCTTCTTCTGCTAATTGGAAAAAGGATCCACTTATGCATACTCTGTTTTTTGACAGCTAGCTAATCTTCTATCTTGTGTATGTCACCCCCTATGCTATGAGATCTTACTTTGCACAGTAGCTTTTTTATGTAGCACTTAAATACTTCCTCAAATCAAAGTACAGTACATCTACAGACTCTCCTTTAACAGTGCATCTTTCTCCTAAGAAGTCACTTTCACACAACCATGCCAACTCTTCCCAATTACCATGAATTTTTCTACGTGCTCTGCTATATTCTCCTCAATGATCAATTTTAACACCTTCCCCACAACAGAAGTCAAACTAGCAGGCCTATAGTTTTCTGTTTCTAGCCCTCTTCCTTATTGTATTAGAGGAGTATATTTGCTACTTTGCAGTCTGGAACCTTTCCAGAACCTAACAAATTTTGGAATACTGCTATTAATGACTTCATACGTATGCAGATAAAATGCTGTAGTTTAACTATGAAGAATGGTACAGTTGCCAACATCATGCACTTTTAGGTTTCCTGTTAATTATCTACTAATTCAGTGTTTTATAGGATATTGGTTTATAGGATTATCTGGAACTAAATGTGAAGAAGCTCAGCCCTCTTAATACACAGTCTAGGTAGTCCATCTCTAATGTCATGGTATGCTGTTCACTTGTCTTATTGTACTATTGATGACTGAACCACAGCGTCTCAAATCTAGCCATCACTAGTTGTTTCCTCCTGGAACCAATTTTAAGCTGAACACCACTGGTTATCCGTCCCACTCTTCTCTCAAGTAGGATGGTTATATAATTTAGAGAGACTTGTAACGAAAGAAGAATTATTTAGTATTGTAATACTTTTTTTTAAAACAAGGGCATTATTTCAGCCAAGTTATATTCATCTAGGTTTCAATCTATTTTAAATTATGTACTGTACTGTGGATTGCATGATCACAACCAGTGATATCTAGTAATGGCAGATGACTGACTAAATGCAACCCAGTTTTTTTTTCATAGTATGCATTATTGATTATTCTGGTATTTTATTCCAAATACTCTTAATTTCTTTCCAGATATAATAAAAGAACAGAACAAAGAGTTGAGGGGAACTCAACGTTCTATAGCCAGAGATAGAGCGGGCTTAGAGAAACAAGAAAAACAGCTGGTAAGTAGGTCAGAAATCACCTTGATGAAATTCTAAGCTGAAGGTAGTCATGGCTGCTTCCTATTGTCTGATACTTTGAATGGCAGTGGTTAGTTTTAAAAAAAAACACTAGTGTTGTACTGTACTATACATTCTGGAAATCTGAAACAATTGGAACTTGTGGGAAACACTCAGCATTTAGGCAGACTTAATGGCAATAATGTTTCAGATAATTTTCTTTAAACATAATTGAAAGACAATATCCATTAAAGTATTTTTTAAAAAAGCAAGGGGATAAAACAAAGGAAAACAAAGAACATGTACACATAATAAAATAAATAAAATTATTTTGAAATTGCTCAGATGGAAGTGATGAAAGTGATTATAAGTTCACTGAAGCTGCAAGTTAAAGACAAGGCTGTGTATATGATTAGCTAAATGGATGAGGGATAGGCAAGTGGAAAGGGAAGCATGAAAACTACAAGTGGAACTGACCCCAGTGACCAGGAGCCTGAAAAGAATAAATCAGGTTACCAGCATGGTGCTCTGACTCCACTTCAAGCAACAATCTCTTCTGCTCCAAGATGTAAGTGCTTTATTCAGTGCAGTACCAAGGATCATTCCACTGTCAGGTTTGGTATCTTTGGAATGAGACATTTGGGAGTAAGAGATGGTGTGGTGATGTCTAGTACGAGTAATCTAGAGAATAAGGTAATGTTCTAGACACCCGGGTTAATTCAATTTTAAAAAAAAAAGCTGGAAAAAGAAGTCTAACAATGACTTTCAATCAGTTGTCAATTTTCAATTAAAAATCTATCTATTCCTAATTTTGTATTTTTTAGGCAAGGAAATCTGCCAGCCTTCTATGGTCTGGATGACATGTGACTCCAAACCCACAGCAATGTGGTTAACTGTTTTTCTATTCAGAAGCGCTGTTACACCTGAACACTATATTTTTTCACATCACCAGTAAATCACCTGTGTTTTCCGATTGATTAGTTTACATGAAAATCCTCTTAGAGTAATACAGACCATGAAAGGTGCAGGGGAGGGAGCTAAATCAAAACAGAGTTGGAAAGGTGGTTAAGCACTCCACCTCTCTGATGCCCACCTTTCTCTAAAAGCATCAAGAGTATTAGTGGACAATGCCTGCTCTCCCTCCAAGGACACCTGGGCAGAATTGTAACCTCAGAGTAGCGTACTGTCGGCAACTATGACCCCCTCCACAGTCTACCACCTGGACCTGTTTATAGGCAACTTGGTAAGGCCCAGGAGCAGATCCACGAGCAGGTCCTCCAACATGTTCGCACCCCTCCATACCAGATATTGTGGTAACTCTTAACTATACTCTGAAATGGAAAGTCACTCAGTTGTATCAATCACTTTGAAAGGTTTCAAAGCAATCATTTGGGGATTCATAGAACATAGAACAGTACAGCACAGTACAGGCACTTCGGCCCACGATGTTGTGCCGAACTTTTACCTGAAACCTAAGGTCTATCTAACCTCCACCGTTACCTTATACTATCATCCATATGCCTATCTAATAGCCGCTTAAATGCCCCTAATGAGGCCGACTCCACTACCCTCTCCGGAAATGCATTCCACACCCCCACCACTCTGAGTAAAGAACCTACCTCTAACGTTTCCCCGATATCTACCTCCTTTCACTTTAAAACTACGTCCCCTCCACCCTAGGAAAAAGTCTCTGGCTGTCTACTCTATCTATACCTCTGATCATTTTGTACACCTGTATCAAGTCACCTCTCATCCTTCGTCGTTCTAAAGAGAAAAGCCCCAGCTCTCTCAACCTTTCCTTGTAAGACCTACCCTCCATTCCAGGCAACATCCTGGTAAATCTCTGCACCTTTTCCAACGCTTCCACATCTTTCCTGTAATGAGGTGACCGGAACTGGACACAATACTCCAGATGTGGCCGAACCAGGCTTTTGTATAGCTGGAGCATAACTTCACGGCTCTTGAACTCAATCCCTCTATTAATGAAAGCTAACACACCATACGCCTTCTTAACAACTCTATCCACCTGGGTGGCAGCTTTCAGGGAACTGCGAACATGAATCCCAAGATCCCTCTGCTCCTCCACACTGCCAAGAATCTGTCCGTTAACTCTGTATTCTGCTTTCAAGTTTGTCCTTCCAGAATGAATCGCCTCTCACTTTTCAGGGTTAAACTCCACCTGCCACTTCTCAGCCCAGCTCTGCATTCTATCAACGTCCCTTTGTAACCTAGAACAGCCCTCCGCACTGTCCACAACATGACCCAGCTTCGTATCGTCCGCGAACTTGCTAATCCACCCTTCCACTCCTTCATCCAAATCATTTACAAAAATCACAAATAGAAGAGGACCCAGAACAGATCCTCGTGGTACACCACTCGTAACTGAGCACCATGTTGAATATTTTCCATCCACTACCACCCTTCGTCTTCTAAGGGTCAGGCAATTCTGAATCCAATCTGCCACATTTCCCCCTATCCCATGCCTCCTTACCTTCTGCATGAGCCTACCATGGGGAACGTTATCAAACGCCTTACTTAAATCCATGTATACCACATCCACTGCTCCACCTTCATCCACGTGTTTGGTCACCTCTTCAAAAAATTCAATAAGGTTTGTGAGGCATGATCTACCCCTCTCAAATCCATGCTGACGATCACGAATCAAACTGTGCCTTTCCAAGTGACCATAAATCCTGTCTGTCAGAGCCCTTTCCAATAATTTGCCCACCACTGACGTAAGACTAACTGGTCTGTAATTTCCGGGGTTATCCCTGTTCCCTTTTTTGAACAAGGGAATGACGTTTGCCTCTTTCCAATCTTCTGGCACTATACCCGTGGACAGTGAGGATGAAAAGATCATCGCCAAAGGCCCTGCGATCTCGTCCCTCGCTTCCCATAGAATCCTTGGATAAATCCCATCAGGCCCGGGGGACTTATTTATCTTCAACTTCCTCAGAATTCCTAGCACATCTTCTTTACTAACATGAACCTCCTCTAGCCCACCTGCCTGTTTCACAACGTCCTCCTCTAGCCCA